GCATAATAATTCGCTATGCAACAGTACGAATACCCCCAACGAAACACGTAATTGCAGAACACGCTTACTATGCACTTACGATTAGCAGGAATACGCAACAAGCCAAGCCGACTGCACACAATATTGACCGTAGCGAAGCGAGCACACTGAACAAGCTAGTAAGCGAGCCTGTTGAACGATCACACAATAGCATGGCTGATCAAAACAACAGACACAGCAAATTTTGTATATAAAGCGAAGGCGAAACAGCACAGCTACACAATGTAGCCATTCCTGCTACAAGCTTGCACCCTAAGCTCACCGTTTTCTCTACTCCAGAGACTCTCGGACAGCTACCCATATTACAGACCATAGATTTCAAATGGCCTGTTTAATCCCAGGAGTAATGGGAGCAATAAACACAGTAGAAAAAGTTTAGACTTATATTTATCCTTCCAAACCAATATAACAGCAATATGTACACTATGTACAGTGAATAAATAAATGCACTCCACGAAAGCAAGGCAAGAAATAGAAGGGCCACAAGATAGCAGACCGTGCTTCAACCAGCTCAGAGTGGGACTACTAGGGCAGACAGAGATCGGTAGTCCACATAACCTCTGCGATGACATCCACCTACTTATTGGCTAGAACCTGGTCACTAGTTGAAACGATGTGGGCCCCATCATCAATCTCTTATCCACCTGGTTCGGCTGTATTGGGGGAGATAGCCTGTATAATGAATGGTGTCCATGCGCGAATAAAGGTTACGTACACTTAGCATGTCCACAGAAGAGTGTCTGAGAGGATGTAAGTAGAGGTCCATGAGAGATGTAAGAGAGTGTCTTGAGAGGATGTAAGAGAGTTCTTGAGAGGATGAAAGAGATAGTCTTAGAGAGGATGAAAGAGAGAGTCTTGAGAGGATGTAAGGAGAGAGTCCTTGAGAGGATGTTAAGAGAGTGTCTTGAGAGGATGTAAGAGAGTGCCCTTGAGAGGAGTAAGAGAGTGTCTTGAGAGGATGTAAGAGTGGTCTTGAGAGGATTGTAAGAGAGTGTCTTGAGAGGATGTAAGAGAGAGTCTTGAGAGGATGTAAGAGAGAGCCTTGAGATGATGTAAGAGTGTCTTAAGAGGATGTAAGAGGTGTCTAGAGAGGATGTAAGAGTGTCCTTAAGAGATGTAAGAGGGAGTGTCCTTGAGAGGAGGGTTTCGCTCTCAATTCCTCTCCTGTGTTTGTTTGTCTTTCATGTTCCTGTGAGTGTGTTTGTTTGACTCTCTCTCTGTGTTTACTTATTTTTTCCCGGTTCCTTATTTATCGTCAGTTTATTTACCCACAGCGCACCACTCTCTTCTCTCTCTCTCTCTCCTCTCTCACTCAATCTCTCACTTCTCATCTCTCTCCGTCTTTCGTCTCTCTCTCTCTCTCTCTCTCTCTTTCTCCTCTCGTTTTGCTCCTTCTTCCCATTCTTACATTTTTTACAAGCTTCTAAGGCCTATTATTGGTAATTATGGTTGGTTATTTTAATTACCAGCACCACCTGTTTACTACCACCCATCACTACCACAGTATGCGCTACACCATCACTACCACTGCTGCTGCTACCACCATCACTACCACTGTATGCTGCTAACCGAAACCATCACTACCACTGTTGCTGCTACACCATCACTACCTACTGTTGCTGCTACGCACCATCACTACCACTGTTCTGCTACCACCATCACAACCACTGTTGCTGCAACCAACCATCACTACCACTGATTGCTGCTACCACCATCACTACCACTGTTTTATGCTGCAACCACCATCACTTACCACTGTTTGCTGCTTAGACCACATCACACCACAGTTGCTGCTACCACATCACTACCACTGTTGCTGCTACACCACCCACACTACCACCGTTGCTGGCTACCGACTCATCACTACTACTGTTTGCCTGCTACCTCCATCCACAACTACTGTTTTGCTACTACCACCATCACTACCACTGTTTGCTGCTAACCACCATCACTAATCACTGTTGCTGCTACCACCATCACCTACCACTGTTGCTGCTACCACCATCCACTACTACTGTTGGCTACTACCACCATCACTACCACTGTTGCTGTGCTACCACAATCACTAACCACTGTTGCTGTCTACCACGCATCACTATCACTGTTGTTGCTACCACCATCACTACCACGTTGCTGCCTACCACCATCACTACCACTGTTGCTGCTAACCAACCATCACTAGGGGTAACTGTTTTAATACCACCATCCTACCACTGTTGCTGCTACCACCATCACTACTCACTGTTGCTGCTACCAACTAATCAACTACCATGTTGCTGCTACCACCATCAAATCACTTTTGCTGCTCCACATCACTATCACTGTTGCTGCTACCAATCACTACATGTTCGCTACCCCCATCACTACCAGTTGCTGCACCACCATCACTCCACTGTTGCTCCCACCTCCTCCCAAATTTTGCTGCTCCCAAAATTCCTACCACTGTTGTTACTCCCACCATCACAAACCACTTTTTGCTGCTACCACCATCATACATGTTGCTGCTACCACAATCACTACCCCTGTTGCTGCTACCACCATCACTATCACTGTTGCTGCTACCACCATCACTACCACTGTTGCTGCTACCACCATCACTACTACTGTTGCTGCTACCACCATCACTACCATTTTTGCTGTTTCCCCACCATCACTACCCTGTTGCTGCTACCACCATAAACTACCAGTGCTGCTGCTACCACCATCACTACCACTGTTGCTGCTACCACCATCACTACCACTTTTTGCTGCTACCACCATCCTACTAACTGTTGCTGCTACCACCATCACTACCACTGTTGCGCTACCACCATCACTACCACTGTTGCGCTACCACCATCACCCCACTTTTTGCTGCTACCACCATCACTACCACTGTTGCTGCTACCACCATCACACCACTGTTGGCTGCACCACCATCACTACCATGTTGCTGCTACCCCCATCACTACCACTGTTGTTTGCTACCACCATCACTACCACTGTTGTTGCTACCACCATCACTACCACTGCTGTTACTACCACCATCACTACCACTGCTGTTAGTACCAAACCATCACTACCACCATCACAACTACCATACTATCACAAAACCACCACCACTTCCACCCATAAACCACTACAGTACTACCATCACGACTACCACCATCACCACTAACATGCTACCACCTCCACCACCATCACCACTACCACACTACCACTACCACCATCATCACTACCAATACCACCACACCACCCCCTTTACCAGAAAACTGACAGAATTCCCATATTAGATTTAAAGGCGTAGTCAGCTCCAACATAATGGCGCTCAGGTTACCACAACACAATAAGGAAATGACAGGTTAGTGGGAGGTGGTGGTGGGGGGTAGTTGGGGGAAGAATGGTAGGGGTTGTGCGGGAAATAATGAAGAGGGGAGAGTTAGGGAAGAAGGAGGGGAAAAGTAGGTATAAATGAATTTAAGTTAGTTTATAAGTTTGAGTCACGAATTACTTTAGTAGAACAGGGTTCTCCTGTCTCGGGGGACGAGTCTTCACCACGGTCTGCTTCCAGTCTTTCAGTTTAATGTAAATAAGAAAAAGATACGTATCTACTTCCCGGAGAGGAGGTGCCGGGAACCGTGACTCGACCCCTGCAACCACAAACAGGTTTAACATTTCCCCCTTTGGTCCATTTTTAGTTCCCAGCAGTGAAGCTGCGGCTCCATCAGCACCACAATAATCTTTTGTGACAAAATTTTGAGAAGTTTTTGATAATGGCAGAAAAAAAATTATTACTTTCCTACTAAACTTTGAGTTAAATAAATTATTATTTAATGATGCAGTAAAGTTCTTTACTAGAGATGAACTTAATAAAGTTAGAAGGTCCGCAAGACGCTCTTATTTTGTTTGATTGACGCAGCAGCCGTGTGTCAGTGAGGCAGGATGATGTGAAGAAGAAACACTTTCATCATTATTCACTCCATCACTGTCTTGCCAGAAGCGTAACTACACTACAGTTATAAAACTGCAACATTAACACCCGTCCTTTAGAGTGCAGACACTGTACTTCCACCTCCAGGACTCAAGTCCGGCTAACTGGTTTCTCCGCTTTATTTCTCACCCTGACGGAGGTCTCAGTCACACATTGGATAACTCAGAGGAGCTTTTGTTGGTGTGCTAGAGTCCTTCTCCTGGTTTACATCTTCACCTCGGGAAAGAATCAGCATCATAACATCTGACGCTAGATTTTCCAACCTATATAAATAAAAAAATGACGAGGAGAAGAGGTATTAGTAAAGTTGTTGACCACATGATGGCCTGATAGATGGAAACTCTCAGAGTGGAGTTTACCTCAAGTTGACCACATGATGGCCTGATAGACTTTCCAACTGGACAAAAAAAGAAGCGAAGAAGATAATATATTCCTGACTGTCAAATACAAGAGGAGAATATACTATAAGACTTTATACAACACATTATTAAGACAAAGAAGGCTAGAGGAAACACTGAGGACTGTAAGAAACACTGGACAACTCTCAGAATGAGACAACCTCTGTGTTAGCAGTAATAAGCATGAGATTTGCACTATTTCTTGAGGAACAATAATGTGTTGCAGAAGACTGGCAGCATCCTGTGTCAGTTGCTGTTTGAGTTGCTGTGAATTGCTCTTTGTAAATTGTTCCAGCTACGGTATTGCAGTTTTCTCTTCTTCTGTTAAAGCTAACTTTGTTTTTCTATCTTCGCCTCTTCTCCTCTCGAGCAGAAGAGACGAAGAGAAAGCTGCACTTCTCTCAAGATGTAAGAGAAATCTGAAACTATTTCTCACGACGGACATTGAAATGTGTGAGAAAATGATTCCAGCATTGAGAGAGAGAGAGAGAGAGAAAGAGAGAGAGAGAGAGAGAGGATAACACAGGAGTGAGGAATCTAGGCAGTGGGAGATAATCGATAACCGGGACGATGCCTGGTCATCAGCGACTCACCGATAACTCCAACGATGAAGATGAGGCTGAAGAGGACCGGAACGATGTAGGTCTCTGGACGCTGGTTGTACGGAACGTAACCCGCGGTGGCGTTCTCCACCAGGACGTCGTCCGTGGCGTTCCTGGCGAAGACGAACGACTCGTCGATGTCTCTGAGAGGCACGAAGAAGTCGTCGAAGGTGTGCCAGTAGCTGTCGTTGTCCAAGGTGCTGTTAAACGATGCTGTTGTAGACGGAAGAGTGGACGGAATACCCCGGGTGAGAGTCTCTACCGGGATACTTGTATATGAACTCTGTTCTACTTCCCAGGTGGTGTTGGTGGTTGTGGTGGTGCTGTTGGTGGTTGTGGTGGTGGTGTTGGTGGTTGTGGTGGTGCTGATGGTGGTTGTGGTGGAGATAGTGGGGATGGTGGTGGTATTTATGGTGATGCCAGCCATAGTAGTCGTCTTCACCATCATTATACAATCACAGTTCCGTCTAATTTATTTCTGACTGGCGGTATACACTCATATTCACTGTTAATCTTCTCTATTTCACTGCTTTATTAGTCACTGCTTG